AACAACAAACACTTATTATCTCACGGTTCCTGAGGGTCAGGAATCTGGTAGTGACTTAGCTGGGTGACTCTGACTCAGTGTCTCATGAGGTTGCGGTCAAGCTGATGGCAAAAGATCTAGACCTAGATTCAGCTAGAGCTGAAGGATCTGATTCCAAGCTCACTCACATGGTTATTGGCAGGTCTCAGTTCCTCACAGGCTGTTAGCCAGAAATAGCAGCATCTCATCACGTGGACCCCTCCATAGGGCTTGCTTTTCCCAGAGAGTAATATGAGAGAGAGAGAGAGAAGGAACATGCACGAGTGCTCAAGACAGAAGCTGTGGTGTTTCATAACACATTTTTGGAAGTTAATATGCTGTCATTTCTGCCATATGCTATTGATCGTACAGACAAATCCTGGTGCACTGTGGGAGAGGGCACACAAGGGTATGAATACCAGGAGGCAGGGATCACAGGGGCTGTCTTAGAGGCTGGCTACCTCAGGGTTAGAGGAAATAGATAATGCAAGGTATAGAAAATAACTCTAAAAAGATTCCAGTGTATATCATTAGAGAGACATAAAATGAAAGAGACTTCTTTGAAAAATGAAATAGTCAAAACAAGGAAGACACTTTTGAAATAAAAGGTAGAAAAGGTAAATAATGAAAGAAGACTGAATTACTAATTTGAAAATTAAAACCAGAGTTCTCCCTGAATGTAGAGCAAAAGACAAAGTATGGAAAGTGAAGTAAAAATTAGAAATATGTAATGATAGATCCAGAATTGGGTTACCCTCTATTTAAAAGGCATTCCAGAAGGAGAGAACAGAAATAGTATAGTCCAAAAGTATGAGAAGAAGATTTCCCAGGGTTGAAAATTCTTGTTCTCCCTGCTCTCCTGCACATCTTTATATTGAAAGTGCTAAAAAACGCACCTAGACACATCCTTAAGAAATTTCAGAATTCCAAGAATAAAGAAGAGAATCTTAGCTCTTGCAGAGCGGAAAAACGGGTTGCCTTCAAAACAGAACAGACTGTTCTCTTGCTTTTCATCACCTATATTGGATGCAGGAGGTTGATGAAACATTTTCTTTAAATCTTTGAAGAGAACTTTATTTTGAACCTAGAATTTTATGCCTAGTCAATCTGTTAATCAAGTTTAAGGGAAAATGAATACATTTTCAGACAGATAAGGATTTAGAGAATTTAAGGATCCTGTAGAAATGAAAGAAAAACAAGATGTGATAACCCTTTCCCCCACCATTACCAACATCAGTCATTAAAGAGACTGTGCTTTATTAAACTGAAGAGAAGATGCTCTTGAACTAGGAATCCTGACCATAAAATGAATATAAATAGAAAAAACACCACATCCATCCAAAACTGTGATAAGAAACTGCAAATCAAAACATTTCAGCTGAAATGAAACAACCAGAAAGCAATTAAAGAGAATGGTGACACATTGTGAAAAATGTAACTAATTTACTGAACAATTTATGTAGAAATTGTCAAATAAGAACCAAATTTGCTGTGTAAACTTTCACCAAAAACACAGTAAAATATTATTTTAAAAAATTTTAGCTGATAAAAGTTCTCCAGCAGAAACTAACTATAAAGCAGAAGGACACAAACACAACATTCCCAACTAAATTAAATACCCTCACACAAGCATTTGGGGTTATGATAAAACATCTTGAATCAGAAGGTCAAAATCTAAGAAGATAAATCAAAAAGAGGAAGAAATGAAATGGAAATTGGTTGAACTTAGGAAACAACTAGAAAAAGACAAAGTCATATCAGAAATTGATCATCTCAGTAGATGAAGAAAAACCGTAATAAAAAATATTATTTAAAAAAAGATTCTTCCATAATCTGACAGACGTTTTATCTATAAGTACCTTAATAGCATACATCATCCTAATAATAATATCTTGGAAGTTTTCATTTAAAGTCAGGAACAAGACAAAGTTATGTATTTGCATGCTTCATTTCAGTTTCCTTTAGGTTTATAAATTTGTTGCTGTAGGATTACAAGTAGTATTCTTATATATATGGTTATATCTCATTTTCCATATCTAATCTTACCTATTTTCCTTTAATCTGGCTCGTAAGGGGTTGATCATTTCACTGGTCTTTTCAAACAACCAGGTTTTGGATTTATATTATTCTTTTATTAAATATATATTCAACGTAATGGCTTAGTTAAGCTTTATTGGGAGGAGTTTCTTGACTATCTAGTTTACCAAATAGCTGGAAACTCCTTCGGTATTACCTTTTTTATTTTTATACAAACCTCTTATTGAGTTATAACGTACGTATAGAAAAACATAAGTGAAATTTTAAAAAAATGAGCACATCTATGTAACCAGAACCCACATCAAAAAAACAAACAAAATAGAACACCATAACCCCCCTCATGCTTCCTCCCAGTCACTACCTGCTGCTCTGAAAGGTAACTAATGTGTCTTCTAATACCATAAGTTAATTTTACTTGATTTTGAACTTTATATACACAGAATCATACAGAATATACTTTTGTGTTTGACTTCTTTTGCTTAACATTAAGCTTGTGAGACTCATCCATTTTGTTGTGTGTAGTTTGTTAATCCCTTCTCATTGTAGTATATTATATCCTTGTATGAATATATCACAGTTTATCCATTCTCCGGTTAATGGACATTTGGTTTGTTTTCAGTTCAAATTTTTTGGCTATTAAGAACAGTTTTGGCTAATAATGTTGCTGTGAACATTCTCGTACATACCTTTTGGTGAGCATTTGTATGCATTTCTGCTGGGATATAGAACTTCTTGACTATATATACGTGTATGTTCAGCTTTAGTAGACACTGCCAAACAGTTTTCGAAAGTTGGGCAAGTCTCTAACATTTTCACCAGTGCTTGATGTTGTCTTTAAGCCATCCTGCTGGGTCTAGAGTGGTAGTGTATTGTGTTTTTAATTTACATTTCCCTGATGACTAAGGAAACTTACCTTTTCATGTATGTATATGTATTTATTAGCTTTATGAATATCTACTTTTGTGAACTAGAAAATACTCAGCTGTTCAGAAATTAAACTTTATATTTCTGAGTAACTCATGACTCAGAAAATTACTTTGAAAAATATGAAATATTTAGAGCTGAATGATAACAAAAACTTGTTGGATGCAATTAAAGTAGTACTTAGAGGGGAGTTTATATCCTTCAATGCATATACAGGTATCCCTTGCTTTTTGAAAGTTGGCTTTATGCCACTTCACTTTTACGAAAGACCTACATGGTACCTGTTTTTGCTAATGGAAAGAAATCCGAAGTGGACTTCCGCTTTAATGACAAAAGGCTAAAAGTGGAAATAGCATTCAGTGTTTGTTTTTCAGCGAGCTGTTACAGAGGCAGTGCACACCATGAGCAGCGAGAGTGGTGCCATCAAGCTCCTTCCCCAGGAGTTACACTCAGCATCTACTTTATATGTTGTTAGGTGCCGTCTAGTTGGTTCTGACTCATAGCGACCCTGCGTACAACAGAATGAAACACTGCCTGGTCCTGTGCCATCCTCACAATCTTTGTTATGTTTAAGCCCACTGTTACAGCCACTGTGTCAGCCTGTCTCATTGAGGGTCTTCTCTTTTTCACTGACCCTCTGGTTTAGCAAGCATGATGTCCTTCTCCAGGGACTGATCCCTCCTGATAACGTGTTCAAAGTATGTGAGACGTAGTCTGTCCATCCTTGCTTCTAAGGAGCATTCTGGTCATACTTCTTACAAGACAGATTTGTTTGTTCTTTTGGCAGTCCATGGTATATTCATTGTTCTTCTCCAACACCACAATTCAAAGGCGTCAATTGATGCCTACTTTATATAGGCTGTGTATTTATCATATCATTCCTGCTTTTACTATAGGTTTTATATATTATTTGGTGTCATTTGGTATGTTATTTTTTGGATCTGGGAACAGTCACAAATTTTTTCCATATAAATTAATGGTAATTGCTTCTTCGCTTTACACTATTTCATCTTACTAAAGATTTCATAGAAACACCCTGCTTTCGGATAGCAGGGGAAAACAGTGCTAGGAATAAAAAGAAAGGCTAAAAGTCAGTGATCTAAGCTTTCATTTCAAGAAACTAGAAAAATAATTGCAAATTAAACCCAAAGAAGGAAATAATAAAGACAAAAGCAAAAATCAGTGAACTAGAAAGCACATGTTGCAGTAGAGAAAAAAGTCAAATATCAGTTCTTTGAAAAGAATGTGTTTTCCACTTACTTTCATTTTTGCTTGTTTGTTATCAGATTCATTAATTTGCTTCTGTGTTAATGTCTTTCTGATTTGTTTGATTTTCTAGTTTTTTAAGATGAATTCTGAGTTCTTTTAATTTTTTCTGTTTTTCTATAATAATGAAAGCGTTCAAGGCTATACATTTTCTTCTAAATACTTTTGTTGTTACCATAGGTTTTGTGGTATGTAATGTTTTCCTTTTCATTGCTTTCTGGATTGTTAGTATTTTTCTTTTATCTATGTATTATCTGGGTGCTTAATTTCTAAATAGTGAAGATCTTTTGGGTTATTTGTTCACGTATTATTTATGGCTATGATCAGAGAATATGGCCTATAAAAATATCTTCTTTTAAAAATTTTGTGAATGCACGTGCTGTTAGAGACATTCTCTTTCTGAGGGCTGCAAAATTTCTACCTATAAAATGATTTATGTTGATCTATGTTGATTATATTTTTAAATTCCTTTATGCTGTTAATTTTTTTCTGCTAGATTTTTCTAATGTGGAAGGGTTTTGTGATAGACACTATCGATTAGCTGAGTCAACACCCACCCCCTGTATTCTCCCCTTTGCTTACGTCCCACTATTAAAGGCTGGATAGTTTAATATCCACTTTTTTGGCCTCCTTGCAGCTAGCTTGGTCTAGCATGGTCCGTGGTTAGAAACGGTATTGATAGAGAATTTAGGATGGGTTTTGTCTCTGTTCTTGTTCCATTGCTAATGTTTTGTTTACGTGTTTTATTTTTACAGGGATGTGCATGCAGTATGTCTCTGGGATGATAAAGGCCCAGCAAAAATTCATCAAGCTTTAAAAGAAGACATTCTTGAGTTTATTAAGCAAGCTCAGGCAGTAAGTTCTTTATCGTTACTTTGTATTAGATTTGTTTTAAAACTTTACTCAGAGAATATAATATTTTCTGATTTTGAAGGTAGGACTTCCTGAAGTAAAAATATTCCATTGATTTGTAATACATTATTAAATAAATTTTGTAATGACATGATTGCCATTTGTTGGTTTTTCTCCCCCGCGGTGATTTTTCTGTCTAGAGTGCATTATTTTCCTCAGTTAAAAGATGCTGTAAGTAATTCAGTTTTTTATAAGTGCTTTAGAAATCCCTACTACCATCTTTATTTGGCTGCACCTCAGTGCACATAAATCTGTTTTTTTTTCTCATGACTAGTACCTTGTCTCAAGCTGACAGTAATTTTCTTCAGTTCTAGATGCTTCTCAAACTGTAAAATCGTTTGACTCTCCTTTGCATTGCTGAAATTCAGCAGTCTTGAGCTGATGAAATGTTTAGCTGTTTAGCATTATCGAAATGAAGACAAAGCTCATTTAGGCATTAGATCAATTATACAAAAGCTAGTTTTGTTTGTTTTCTTTCTAACACCTGTTACTTTTGGGAAAAATTAATGCAAAAATAAAGTATTATTTGAATAAGCTATGACATCATTAATGAATCCCTTATACCTTTGAAGAAGGGCCTAAGGCCATGAAGTTATTTTCCTTTCTATAAAACGAAGTCTGAAAACTAGAGGGCTAAAATTTCTTATTCCTTAATTTTAATTTTTAGATGAATGTCTTGTATAACAATACATTTTTAAAAAATCTTGTTAAATAGCTGTTGGGAATTTAAAATGTGTTTTTTTAAATATATGACAAAAGAAGATACTGAAATTGAGATATGATTGGCACGCGCTTATTTCAGCTCATAGCCACTATGTTGGTGAGATAAGAGTGATGTTACATTGGATATTATGTAGGAAATTAAGTGTTTTATGGACGACAGAATTTATTCTGTCATCTTGATAAATGATTTTAGAAAACTTTAGTTTCATAGGAAATTAACTTTTAATGAAAATAAGTCATAATTTTAGAGTTTACTTAGAAAATTAAATGTTAAAACTGACTTAGAAATACAGTTTCCTCTTGCACTGGAAAATGTATCAGCCTATCTATGATTTTCAGTGAATATAAATTGTCTATTTCAAATCAATTGCACTTTATTCTTCAGTTTCTGAAAATAGACTCATAAAGAATCATCTCGGATATGATTAACAAATGTTTAAAAATATACTCCACACTGGAAAACTAAAATATGTAAGGGTTTCACTGTAACATGACCCAGTAAAGTCTGGAAGGTGGACCTAAGCAGAAACCTGAGGATGGGTTTGACACCCACTAATTCAGAACAATTAAATTCTAGGAATAGCAGTATAATAAAACAGCAGATACAGGTGTGTGATTTTATTTATTTATTCTTTCCAAGCTATGGTCCCCAGCCCCCAGCCCCAGCTCCTCTGTCCCTCAGAGTGTTTGGATGTATCTAGGAAACTTCTGTGCTTTTGCTTTGGTCCAGTTGTTCTGACTTCTCTATTGTGTGTTGTCTTTCCCTTCACCAAAGTTGACACTTGTCTACTGTCTCATGAGTGATTTCCCTTCCCCTTCCCTCCCTACTCTCCTAACCATCAAAGAATGTTTTTTTCTGTGTCTCTTTTCTTGAGTTCTTATAATAGTGGTCTCATACAATATTTGTTCTTTTGTGACTTATTTCACTTAGCATAATGCCCTCCAGATTTATCCATGTCATGAGATGTTTCATGGATTCATCATTGTTTGTTATCGTTGTGTAGTATTCTGTTATGTGTATGGACCATAATTTGTTTATCCATTCATCTGTTGATGTGCATTTAGGTTGTTTCCATCTTTTTGTTATTGTGAATAGTGCTGCAGTGAACATGGGTGTGCATATGTCTGTTTGTGTGACGGCTCTTATTTCTTTAGGGTATATTCCTAGGAGTGGAATTGCTGGATTGTATGGTATTTCTATTTCTAGCTTTTCAAGGAAGCACCATATTGTTTTCCAAAGTGGTTGTACTGTTTTACGTTCCCACCAGTAGTGCATAATAGTTCCAGTCTCCCCGAAGCCTCTCCAACATTTGTTATTTTGTGTTTTTTGGATTAGTGCCAGTATTGTCAGGATGAGATGGTATCTCATTGTAGTTTTGATTTGCATTTCTCTAATGGCTAATGATCAGGGGCATTTTCTCATGTGTCTGTTGGCCACTTGAATGTCTTCTTTGGTGAAGTGTCTGTTCATATCCTTTGGTCATTTTTTAATTGGATTATTTAACTTCTTGTTATTGAGGCATTGAAATATTTTATAGATTTTAGAGATTAGACCCTTGTCAGATACGTAGCAGCCAAAATTTTTTTCCCCAGTCTGTAGGTTCTCTTTTTACTCTTTTGGTGAAGTCTTTTGATGAGCATAAGTGTTTGATTTTTAGGAGCTCCCAGTAATCTAGTTTCTCTTCTGGTGTTTGTGCATTGTGAGTTATGGTTTGTATCCTATTTATGCTGTGTATTGGGCCCGTAACGTCCCTATTTTTTCTTCCATGATCTTTATCATTTTAGATTTTATATTTAGGTCTTTGATCCATTTTGAGTTATTTTTTGTGAATGATGTGAGGTATGGATCTTGTTTCATTTTTTTACAGATGGACATCCAATCATGCCAGCCGCATTTGTTAAAGAGACAGTCTTTTCCCCGTTTATTGGACTTTGGCCCTTTGTCAACTATCAACTCCTCATAGATGGATGGATTTACATCTGGGTTCTCAATTCTGTTTCATTGGTCTATGTGTCTGTTGTACCAGTACCAGGCTGTTTTGACTACTGTGACTGTATAATAGGTTCTAAAATCAGATAGTGTGAGGCCTCCTGCTTTGTTCTTCTTCTTCAGTAATGCTGTACTTATCTAGAGCCTCTTCCCTTTCTGTCAAAAGTTGGTGATTTGTTTCTCCATCTCATTAAAGAATGCTGTTGAAATTTGGATCAGGATTGCATTGTATCTGTAGATCGCTGTGGGTGAAATTGACATTTTCACAATGTTGAGTCTTCTATCCATGAGAGGTGTGTGATTTTTAAATGACTTAAAACTTCAGGAAATCCAGCTTATGAGTCATTTTAATAGACAGTGTCTAATTGAGCTTTTTTTTTAGGTTGTTTTTGGGTTTTGGGTGCCATCGAGTCAATTCCAACTCATAGCAACCCTTTGTGACAGGATAGAACTGCCCCACAGGGTTTTTTTGGCCGTAATCTTTATGGAAGCAGATCACCAGGTCTTTCTTCCACAGAGCCACTGGATGGGTTTAAACCACTAACCTTTCAGTTCGCAGCTGAGTGCTTAACCATTGCACCACCATTGCTCCAGAAAGGCAATATGCGTTAAAAATGTTTATTATAGAATTATTTAATATGACAAAAAAGGAAATAAAAGTAAACGTACGATGTTTGGGAAATTATTAGCTGATTTTGCCTAAGCTTATTAATGCCACAGCAGTCAGCTGGTGGCTCTGCAGGGACTGGTTGGTCCAAGAGTGCCTTGCTTACATATCTGGTAATTGGTGCTGGCCTTCAGCTGGACCTCTCTCCCTTCACGTAGTTTCTCATTCTCAAGGAGACTAGCCTTTGAGGTAAAAGCCGAATCTATAAAACCTCTTCAGGTCTAGGCTCAGAAGTCTCGCAGTCTCAAAACAAATCATAAGACCTGTCCAAACTCCAGGGGTGGGGAATTAGACTCTGTTGCTTTTTTTTTTTTTTTTTTTTAATTGAGCTGTAATTCTATACCATAAAATTCGCCCTTTTAAGTGGACAATTCATTGTTTTTTTTTGTATAGTTGTAGGGTTAGGCAATCATTACCCACTAATTCCAGAACATTTTTATCACTACCAAACTAACCCTGTACCCATTAACAGTCAGTCTCCATTCCTCCCCACAGACTCCCTTCTAGCTCTTGTTAACCACTAATCTGCTTCCTGTCTCTATGAATTTGCCTATTCTGGATATTTCATGTAAATGCAATCATATAAGATGTGGTCTTTCATGAATGGCTTCTTCACTTAGCATGTTTTCAAGGTTCATCTATGTCTTAGCATGTATATCAGTACTTCATTTCTTTTTATGACTAAATGATATTTTGTTGTATAGATATACTACATTTTGTTTATCCATTCATCAGTTGATGGACATTTGGATTTTTTCTACTTTCTGGCTATTTTGAATAATGCTGCTGTGAAATTCATGTGTAAGTTCTTGCATGAACATGTTTTTATTTCTCTTGAGTGTATACCTAGGAGTGGAACTGCTGGGCCATATGGGAATGCTGCGTTTAACTTTTTGAGGAACTGTCAAACTGTGGTATTTGGCACAGGTTCCAAAGTGCTATACCATTTTACATTTCAACCAGCAATGTACGAAAGTTCTAATTTTTACACATCATCATCAAAACTTATTATTGTCCTTTTTTTTTTCATTTTTTGTTGTACTTTAGGTGAAGGTTTACAGAACAAATAGATTGTCATTAAACAGTCAGTACACATACTGTTTTATGACCCTGGTTAACAACCCCATGACATGTCAACACTCTCCCTTCTCGACCTTGGAGGACCTTTTTATTTTTGGTGAAAATATACATAGCCAAAGACACACCATTGCAAAAATTTCTACATGTACAACTCAGTGATATCGATTATGTTCTTCCACTTGTGCTGCTATTCTCACTGTCTTTTTCCAAATTATTCCCTCACCATTGTCTTCAACTCACTGTCCCCTAGGCTTCCCATCAAACCTTTTGAGTTGTTTTTGTCAGTTTGATCTCTCATAGATAATTCTTTTTTTTTCTGTACTTTAGATGAAGGTTTACAGAACAAAATAGTTTCTCATTAAACAGTTCACATATTACCCTATGACAATGGTTTACAACCCCATGACATGTCAACACTGTCCTTATTCGACCTTGGGTTCCCTATTGCCAGCTTTCCTTTCCCCTCCTGCCTTCTAGTCCTTGTCCCTGGACTGCTGTGCCTCATTAGTCCCATTTTGTTTTCTGGGGCTGTCCAGTCCCTGGCTGAATGGTGAACCTCGGGAGCGACTTCACCACTGAGCTAGAAGGGTGTCCAGGGGCCATACTCTCGGGGTTTCTCCAGTCTCTGTCAGGCCAGTAAATCTGGTCTTTTTTTGTGTGTTAGAATTTTCTACATCCTTCTCCAGCTCTGTCCAGAACCCTCTGTTGTGATCCCGGTCAGAGCAGTCAGTGGTGGTAACCAGGTACCATCTAGCTGTACTGGACTTAGTCTGGTGGAGGCCTTGGTATCTGTGGTCCATTAGTCCTTTGTATTGTTCATCTTTTTGATTGTAGCTGTCCTGTTGGGTGTGAAGTAGTATCTCATTGTGGTTTTGATTTGTATTTCCCTAATGACTAATAATCTTGAGCATCTTTTCATATGCTTATTGGACCTTTGCATATCCTTGGCAAAATGTCTATTTAAATCCTTTGCCCATTTTTAAATTGGGCCATTTGTCTTTTTTTATTGAGTTGTAAGAGTTCTTTATTCTGGATACTAGATCTTTATCTGATATATGATTTATAAACTTTCCCATTTTGTGGGTTTTCTTTTCACTATTATGATAGTGTCTTTTGAAGCACGGAAGTTTTTAATTTTGATGAAGTCCAGTTTTCCTGTTCTTTTCTTTGAGCGCTAGTGCTTTGGGTGTTCATTGCCAAATCCAAGTTATGAATATTTACTCGTACGTTGTTTTACTAAGAATTTTATAATTTTAACTCTTAAATTTAGGTCTTTTATCCATTTTGAGTTAATTTTTACATATGGTGTGAGGTATTCCTTTTCATGTGGATATTCAGTTGTTGTTGAAAAGACTACTTCCCTATTGAATTGTCTTGACACCCTTGTCCAAAATCACTTTGCCATAGATCCATGGATTTATTTCTGGATTCTCAATTCTGTGAAAATTTCATTCTTAGATGTGAAAGTGGTTAGTTGTTAATAATGATAATCATAATGAGAATGCATATGATAAGGTAAGAGAAAACGCAAAACACAAAATTGTACCTAAACCGTATTTACAACTACACACATTTTGAAGCATGTACATAAGACTAGTTCAAATTAAGAATGAAACCATTTTATTTATTTAGAATGATAAGAATGGGAGGCACCTCATCTTTGTAACGAAAAAAAAATCTAAATTGCTATGATAAAGTTTGTAATAAAACATTTTAAAATTATGGCAGAAGGAAGTTTTATTCTTATTCTTTGAAGCATCTGTCTTTATTTCAAATTGGTATAATTCTTTTCTTTCAGCGAGTACTGAGTCATCAGGATGATACAGCTTTGCTAAAAGCATATATTGTTGAGTGGCGAAAATTCTTTACACAATGTGATATTTTACCCAAACCTTTCTGTCAGCTAGAGATTACTTTAATGGGAAAACAGGGCAGCAATAAAAAATCAAATGTTGAAGACAGTATTGTTCGAAAGGTAAGTCAATTTTTCCCATTGTTTCCTAATATTCTTCAGAAAGAAGGTGATTTAAAGGCTTTTGAAAGTAATTTATACTTTAAATAGATTTTTCCATTTCACATATAAATTCCTTTTCAGTTCTTGCTGGGTTTTATTGAATATTATTATTTGTCCTTCATCCATTTTTAGCTTCAATTCTTTCTCGTCTCTGCGGTCTTCAGCTATAGATCTCTCTTCAGATGTTACCTCTTTCGGTTTCCCTTTTTACTTTTCCTTCTGCTAGATTTATCTTCGGTATTTTATTTCCCTATTCTTTCTTTGTACCTTTACCTTCCTATAAATTAAATTACTTTTTTTCCTCTTTAAAACAGTGCAGTTTTTATTAGGTTGCCTTCTAATAACTTTGTGTTTAATCATGGCCAGACTGCTGTCATCTTTATAATCTTTCTTTCACTTGATTCTAGTTATTATAGACTCAGTATGTACTGTGTTTATTTTCATATCTTGCATAGTTTCTAGTTCAAAGCTCTGTGCCCAGTAACACTCATAATTTAGTTTAAAGAACTCAGCTCTGATAGTGAAGAGTCCCATGTTTCCCTTTCAGTGCTGGAATAATGACCTAACTTTGCTTTTCTCATTTATAAAATATCTCCCTACTTGTAGAATCAAATGGAACCATAGATTTGAAAGTAAAAAAATACCATTTGAACTTAAAACAATTCATTGCTTGCTGTGGTGATCATAGCAACAAACTCAGACATTAAAGTAGTGTAGCCTGGACATTATTGCCCCTTTCCAGACTAAAAATTTGTTCCAATGTTGACAGAGATATACTGTGTATTTAGATACCCAGTGGTTCTCCAGTAGTAGAAATAACTGTAATCTGAGAAATTTATAACTAAAGAAAAAGGTAAAAACACTTGTACATGCTGTCTCCTTTGCAGTCCCATAATCGTATCCTTTCTTGTTTTCTGCTATTTCTTTAGTTTTACTGTTGATTTGGTGAAGCAGCATCACTTAATGATTTAAGAGCATAGATTCTAGGTCCACAGTCCAGTACTAGTTGCTGTTGAGTAGATTCCAAATCATGGTGAACCCATGTGGGTCAGAGTAGAACTGTGCTCCATAAGAGTTTTCAGTGGCTGATTTTTTTTGAAAGTAGACCAACAGGCCTTTGTTCTGAGGTGCCTGTGGGTAGACTTGAACCTTTAGCCTTTCGGTTAGCAACCGAGCATGTTCACTGTCTGCACCAGCCAGGGACTCCAGGCCACAGTAGTACGTTCATATTCCAGTGTTGCCACTTATGAGCTGTGTGAACGTGGGAAAGCTAGCTTTCTTCTTTGTGCCCCAGGTTCCGCATGGTAAAAGAGGGATAATTAATATCAGGGTTGTTGTGATAATTAAATGAGTTATATATAGAAAGTACTTAGAACAGTGCCAGGTACATAGTGAATGTTACATAACTGTTAGCTCTGGTTTTTATTATTGCTGCTGCTGCTGTTGCTGCTTTCGTTAGTCTATCTCCTATCTCTGACAGTTATTCTGAGCACTAATAACCAAAACCAAACCCACTGCCATCAAGTTGATTATCATAGCAACCCTATAGGACAGAGTAGAACTGCCCCATAGGGTTTCCAAGGCTGTAAATCTTTATGGAAGCAGACTGCCGCATCTTTCTCCCGTGGAGCGGCTCATGGGTTTGAACCACCAACTTTTCGGTTAGCAGCCTAGCACTTGAACCACTGCACCACTGGGGCTCCTCTGAGTGCTAATACGTACTCATAAATACGTATAAACCACTTCCATCATTTTAGTGGAGCGCCTATAAGGTGGATTAGCATACTCTTTTTTAAGGTCCAGTATCAAACAGATTTTCAGTTGATCCTTTTTGCGTTTATAATATATGTATACAAACACATGCATATTACCATTCTAAGCACGTACTGTATTTCTGAAATTCAACCTTGGAATTATAACATTTTCCATATATTATCATATTTAATTTTTAAAACCCCTTGAAATTAATTGTATTTAACTATTTTGTAGGTGGGAAAGCAGGTAAATAGGTGACGGAGCTGAGATTCAGACCCCATTATGTCTGTTTCTGAAATGCATGTTCTTTTTTGTTAATGCTAAATATACTGTTTCCCTGAAGTATTCAAGTAAATAAACATAGGCCTAAGAATTTGATTTCCTCTTTTAGTGTTTGTACTTAAAAATTTTTTATGTTTCTGTGGTACTTGATATATTAATAATTGAAAATGATTGCATTTTTGTTGTTTTTTTCCTAGCTCATGCTTGATACGTGGAATGAATCCATCTTTTCAAATATAAAAAACAGACTCCAAGATAGTGCAATGAAGTTGGTACATGCTGAAAGATTAGGAGAAGCTTTTGATTCTCAGCTGGTTATTGGAGTAAGAGAATCCTATGGTATGCTCTGAACTTTTATAGTCATAATTTCCTTTTCATGGAACTTCTAGGACAATTATAAAATAGTATATCAAAGTTATGTTTATTACCATATAAATTCATATCTACTTCTTGTGCCAGATGCTTCCTAGAGTTTACAAAACACATTAATTATGCTTTAAAGAAACCAAAAATTCATATTCATGTGGTTAATATTTATTTTCTACATGTTACTCATTTCTTGGTTGGTGTATCTTTTTAGAGAACTAAATTAGAGAAATATAAATTCAAATCTATAGCTGATAAGAGATAAATGGTTTCAAACTTAGGTTTTCTAGACATAAGTTAATTCATATGTATATTCCTCTCCTAACTTCTCAGTTTCTGATAGTGATATTCTCATTTGTTCTTTCAGTCAGGTATGTTCCATCTGATCAGGATACTCTTCCTCTCCCTCTTCATCCTCTATTTCCTCACGGAGGCCTTTCCTAATTCCCAGATTAGGGTAGATCCTGTCACTTAGTGCTTCATAGTGTGCACCTGTGCCTCAGTCTTATAATACATCTGTTGAAATACTTGTGTTATTGACACTGTAGCTTTACTTAGCCTGGTATAAAGTAGTTCTCGATAAGTATTTGTTGAATTATTGAATCTTTAGAGTTTTCTTTGACTAGCTTTTCTGTATTTCCCCTTATTTCTAGATATCAGATCTTTAGATTTTCTTTACTAATGTCCTGAAATTTACTCTTTTTTATTTCAACTACCACCAGTTTACAAATTTCTTTTTATTGTACTTTAGATGAAGATTTACAGGATAAACTAGCTTCTCATTAAAGAGTACATGTATTGTTTTGTGACATTGGTTACCAGCCCCACGAAATGTCAACACTCTCTTTTCTCAACTCTGGGTTCCCTATTGCCAGCTTTCCTGTCCCCTCCTGTCTTCTAGTCCTTGCCCCTGGGCTGGTGTGCCCCTTTAGTCTCGTTTTGTTTTGTGGGCCTGTCTAATCTTTGGCTGAAAGGTGAACCTCAGGAGGGACTTTATTACTGAGCTAAAAGGGCATCCAGGGCCATATTCTTGGAGTTTCTCCAGTCTCTGTCAGGCCAGTAAGTCTGGTCTTTTTTTTATTTTTTATTTTTTATTATATTTCAGCTGAAGGCTTACAGAACAAATAGTTTCTCATGAAATAGAAGTACACATGTTGTTTTATAACATTGGTTAACAACCCCACAACATATCAACCCTCTAACTTCTCAACCTCTTTTTTTTTTTGGTGAAAATACACATAGCCAGAGATACACCATTTCAAAAATGTCTACATGTACAGTTCAGTGACATTGACTACGCTCTTCGAATTGTGCTGTTATTCTCACTGAAGATGAAGGCTTACAGAACAAAATAGTTTCTCATTTAATAGTTACTGCACATGTTGCCCTGTGACAATGGTTAACAATCTCACACCAACACTATCCTTACTCATCCTTGGGTTCCCTATCACCAAGTCTGGTCTTTTTTTGTGAGTTAAAGTTTTGTTCTTCTACATTTTTCTCCAGCTCCATCCGGGACCCTCTATTGTGATCCCTGTCAGAGCAGTTGGTGGTAGTAGC